TGTGTGTGTGTGTGTGTGTGTGTGTGTGTGTGTGTGTGTGTGTGTGTTTTTGAGCGTGTGTGTGTGGAATGGGGGGTTACAAAGATCCCTCTGTGGGTTTAGACCGACCACAAGCCTCCAGAGCAGTTGATTCTCAGCCTCTGAACCCACCGGTCCCCCCGAGAGAACGAGAGAGAGACACACACACTCGGAGGAGAGAGAGAGATGGAATTGAACGGTCGGCCTTGATTGTAAAGTCAGACTTCAAGAAACAGAAAATAGACCAAAGGCCCATTCTGAGGCTCCATCGGTCCACTGCTGGCTTTGTTTACTCTCAGATTGACTACATTGAATCTTGTGTTTTTTCAGCCCGTGTTGCAACATTTCCTGTCGATAAGTGAAGTACAATAGATCAATAGAGAAAATTCTTTGACTGCTTATTCAATAGACTCGCAGTAGGATGGAGGAGAGAGTCAAGATCAAGAGGGAGTGGAGAGACGCTACTGTCGACAGCTAAGACAGGAAACCACAGCTGCTGGCCGAGAAATATTATACACACACACACACACACACACACACACACACACACACAGCTGCTTGAGATATATCCTTTAACCCTGAATGCCCATGGATCGAAGCGATGCAGCTGTGTGGCACCACGCCCCTCTTAGACCGTGTGTGTGTGTGTGTGTGTGTGTGTGTGTATGTGTGTTAGTTCCTGTTTTGTTTTTGTTGGAGTTTCTGACATTGTATTGTTTGCTGTGGTCTTGCAGAGCATTGTGGTCATCTATTTTTGGCCCTTGGTGAGACAATAGATTATTGTCAGACTGGGGGGGTGACGGAGGAGGCTGTGAGAGCGTCTCTCTCTCTCTCTCTCTCTGTCTGTGTCCTCATTGTGTGAGAGAAGAAAGACTGTTTTCATCATATTTAATCTTAACCCCTGTAAAAACATATTTTAGTTTATTTTATTCTTAAACATTCATATTTACCTGCTGCAGCTTTTTATCTTTTTTCACTTTCATTTGAACATCTGACTAGTCATCACTGAGGAAGTTTTTCTAGCTACTGTATGGCACACTGGAAGATTCTTCCTGATAAAACTGAAATAAAATACTTTGTATAGTGCTCCCAGAGTTTATTCAGAGTGTAAGAAGGACATTTAGTATTATTATTTATTGCGAGAGAAGATTAATAAAGGAGGTCGATTACTTTCTCTGTGGGCAGCACAGTGATTTGTGCTGATGTGTCCTTGAACTTCCACTCAACCTTGTTTGTGTTTTGGGTGAAGCAACATTGTTGATTTTACAATTTTATTGCCAAAAATGACAAAGATTTAATGTTTCCCCCAAATATTTTTCTTGGTGGTGTGGAAAAAGCCACATAAAGAGCACGTGGGTCAAGGCCAACTTTCCACTAAACCCAAACTGAAATAAAAATAGTTTTAGGGTTAGCAGCTCCTAAACTCTTAAAGATCCACTCCATCTATTCAATGGCAGGAATAATACTTCATCTTATCAATAGTGGCCAATATCCAGTATTTAATTAAAGGTCAGCCTGTTACTCTGCATGTCTGCTTAACACTTAAACTAATGTTCCTCATGTCAGATGTCTGCCTCTCAGACATCTCTTATGAATGAACAATCAGCTGAATGAACTAACAGGCAGCTTGGTAACTGTATCCTATTCTATCTCAAGTGGAAGTGCAGATTTTATTCTTTACTTTGGCTCCATTTCCTTTTGGGAAGGAAGCTTCCTGCCTCATCCTCCCTAGCTCCTTTTCTACTCCGACTCCCCCGCCTCCTCCATCCAGGCAGGATGTGTGAGAGTGTGTCCGAGTTTTTGAAACAATGTCAAGGTCAACAAAACACACAGGATGTCAGTATTGAACATGAAAACAATTATTTTTCAAAGCAAGCTCAAAATATCCAAACTGAAAGTGGGACCTAATCGGTGGTGGTGAAGGGACAAAACAGACTTCCTAACGGACAGAAAGACTCTGAGGTGGACATCATGAACAGGGCGATGTGTTAGGATGTTAAATATCTCCTCCCCGTCAGCTGTTGCAACAGGCGGTACGATGAGTTCCAAACTGACTTCATGCCCCTCGGGAACTGCCAGTTTCGCTCACACTTGTCTGTGGCCTTGCATAAGTGTGCTAAATTGATATTTGATGCACTTGTTGTAATGGCATAAGAATTTCAGCCATGTGAAAGGGAACATATCATGCTCATATCAGGCTCGTACTTGTATTCGGGGTTTCTACTAGAATATGTTGACATGCTTTAATGTTCAAAAACACATATTGTTTGTCTGAATATACCTTTATTCACCCTCTGCTTGAGATGCCTGCGTCTTTAAGCCCCCCTCAGGAAAAGGCCCAGTCTGCCCTATTGAAAAATATGGCACACCTTTGGAAAGTTAGTTTTCCACCGGTGGGTGGACATACTCAAATGGGGGATGGTGTATTCTAATGAGCCTACATGTGACATAGGAAGGGGAGCCAAATATGGCTTGTTGAATCATATCTAGGCAGCCCACAAAATAACTGACTGGGTTTGTGGGTTGGTAGGCACTCCAGATACCCAAAAGTATGTGCACAAGCACTGACATTTTCTTTCTCCATAATATGTCCCCTGTGTGTGCATATTTTATTGTCACTCTGCAAACACAATACTAATATGTTCTTCTGTGGTCCTCAGTCGTGATGGAGCGACTTGTGAACGAGCTGGGCTCTCTGCTGAAGATGCTGGACCACGAGACGGTCAGTCCTGCCACGGCTGACAAGATGGCCTCCATACGTGTCATCCTGGACTCGATGCAGCTGTCAGGTACGGAATTAGGTCTCCGATGGAGGGGTGTGACTAACATCTGGGTTTGTTGTTATTTCACTGAGACTGAATTGAGTCTTCTTACATCAGTAAGTAAGCACTTATTTTCTTGACTCTTGCAGCCAAAGCATTTCTGAGCAGTTTGTTCTACTGTTACAGTGTTTATTCAGACAAGGACAGAGCATTTCTTTCTTCCTCATCGTTTTTTAATGAGGCAACTTTCTTGTCATGAGCCTGCCATACTGCAACTGAGCAACACCGCATTAGTACAGTATTTGTCTTGCATTTAGAAATATGCACACGGACATTGAATCTTCGTGAAGTCTTGACAGTAAATCCTTGTTTGTCTGGGGGATGAACAGAAGGACGTTGGAGGAGATAAGAGGATTGTGGTAAGAGGATAATGAAATGTAAATGTTAAAACGAGGATAACGAGAGGTCAAAGAAAGGAGAAAAGCAAAGCATCCTGATGGTACCACGTTCTCACAATTGTTTGAATGGACGCAGGTTAAGTGTTTTATCTTAACACATTATCATGTTACACTTCAATGTTCATGTTTATTCTAAAACACTTCCAAAACGTCTGGGATGTTTGGCAAACTTTTCGCACTCACGCTTGTAATCCTGACCCTCCCGACCCTAGCACACACCACAATCCTAAGCAGAGCTTTCATACTATTTCCAACCCCGAATTGATCTTTTCCACAGTCAATGGATCAGACATCTACATGAACAGCTGTCTCCATGGCAATGGCACCAGTTTTGTAGAGTCGCTGTTTGAGAATTTCGGTGAGTAGACCTTTCAAACCACTTCAGTGTTATCATACGTGTATATTTCCAATCATACCACGACATCTACAACATGCATGATATCATAAAATGTATTGTGCTTTATCTTTATAATAACATGAATCCTCTGCTGTTCCGTCAGACTGTGATCTGCACATGCTCAGTGTGTCTCCAGAGGAGCAGAAGGAGCACAAAGAGGAAGAGGAGAAGACTCATCTCAATAAATCTGTAAGTCGTCTACACAGTATGTAACCGTCAGTTCATTTGCCTCCGTTGTCCTCGCAACTAAAACCTTTAACTTTCCCCTCAGACACCGACTGACACGCCCCCTCCTCTGCCAACCACCCCCCTCCCTGATGACTACTATGAAGAAGCTGTTCCTCTGGATCCTGGATCCACCCCTCAGTACTTCACCACCAACATGAACAGTTCTGTACACCAACTCCAAAACAAAAAATGTGCACTAATAATTGCAACCAGCGGAATTATTAGAAGTTCCTCCATCTCATCTCATCTTCCGCTCCTCTCCTGCAGCTTCCAGGAACTCGGTGGAGGATGCTTACTATGAAGATGCCGACGATAACTACCCCACCACCATGATTGACGGGCCGCCCAAAAACTCCTGTGGGTCTACCCGCTCTCGTGCTTACTAATGTTGCAATTCAAATGTACAATGATCATGAAGAAGGTAGAATACATGGATGAACAGAACCAGAATTCAGATCTTCATATCAGATATGTTATTTTTGTTGCTCAGACAATGACTCCGATGCTCTGAGCAGTTCATACGAGTCTTACGAAGAAGAAGAGGAAGAGGAGGCCAAAGGACGGGAGCGACCTCAGAGATGGATGGCCGAGGAGAGTCCCGATGAACCGGTTAAAGACTGCCGCATCTGTGCCTTCCTACTGCGAAAGAAACGCTTTGGCCAATGGGCCAAACAGTTAGTCGTTGTCAGAGACAATAAACTGCAGGTAAATAGAGCGGTTTATGTTTATTTTATCTTTCAAACCAAAGGATCGAATCTATATCTGCCGTTATTCGGGGGAAAAACGTTGGGGAAAAACAAACAAACATCAGATGTATATGTATGTATATAATGTTAATCTACAAACTCTTTTCAAAGGTTATATTTTAGCACTGAAGTGAAATGGCATCACATGATACATCATGTATTTTTTGTGTTTACGGTACCCTACTATCTCCCTTTATAGTGCTATAAGAGCATCAAAGAGAGCACTCCCCACACAGAGCTCCCGCTGAATCTGTGTAACGTCATCTACGTCCCGAAGGAAGGCCGGAAAAAGAGACACGAGTTGCGCTTCTCGTTGCCTGGAGGCGAAGTTCTGGTCCTGGCTGTTCTGAGTAAAGAGCAGGCCCAGCGGTGGCTCAAGGTACCTTTATTCACTATATCAGAGGGCTGGTGCTGAGACAGGCAGAGTCTGGGAGGACAAGGGGGAATATGGCTGCAGGTGAGGACATACGTTTTCTTTTCCTGAAACCAGGTGGTGCAAGATGTTGGAAGCCAATGTAGCAACACTGAAGTATCCACGTCTCCCATTATACAGAGGAAGTTGGAGCTTGACAAGGTGTGTGCATGTGTCTTTGTGTGTGTTAGCTACAGTATGGTCTTTGTTGTTTTGCCAGATAAACCAGTCACAAATGTCATACATTTTATGTCCAAATGAGGTTCAGTCAAACAGCTGCCTCTCTGAATCTATACTCTAGTTTTTACATTTCATTGTCTGTCGCTGACATCGCCTCTTTCAGCCCCCTCGTGACACAACTGTTCCTTTGGCTCCTAGTTATAGTGAGTGAGGTAACATTATTGCGGTGGCTGAGCTGGGCGGCCTTCAAAGAGCCTCTTACCCTCAACAGAGTTTTGGCAACGAGCAGAATGCATGGTGACATGGCAGTTCCACCCCATGTTGGCAGAATAGCTTTTAAAATACATAAAGTCAATAAGACTTTTTTGTAAAGAAACTTGCGTGTAACTTTTGTTGACATGATCGGTTAGTCAGCAGACAGCGGGATTCGTTAAAACAGGGTTGATATATGATGTTAATATGTAACAGAAAAATAAGTAATGAAGGTTTCCACTTTCTCTTTGCCAGATGCTGCAGAGTGACCGGCAGGCATCGGACTCAGACAGCGGGCCAACGGCAGAAAACCAGTCCACTGCACAGGGACCAGGACGGGACCCCAGTGACTCACTGAGTAGGTTTACCTTCATAAGCACATCATTGATTCAACTCTCATTTTTCACTCTTTTTTTCATTGAAAGCTGAGGGATTAGATCTTCATCATCATAGTGAGATTTAACAATAGATTTGTGTTGTGATTGTCTGCGATAGAAACTACGGTAAGGTGTCTGTTATTATTGTAAATTAGACAATAATTACTTTAATTATGACACATATTTAAAAGTTATTTGTCTCACTTTGCTAGATCAGGAGGAGGAGGGTGAAATGAATTAAAGACAGTTTTTGCCAACTTGAACCCAAACACTCACCTCCCACTGTGACGTAGCTCTACAGGCGTCAAGTCCACTAAATGATGGGCGGGGTTAGTTAACCCAAATCACATTTCATTGGCTGCATTTCTGTAACAGCACAGAGTTCTAGATTAGTCATTATAAACGCACTATTGTTTAGTGAAAAGAGAGCAATTAAATTATGTTCATTGTTTTGTTGAAACCGATTTAAATAGGTGTTTATTGAACTTATTTGTTCTTTCACTCTATTCATATCAATGAGGATAGACCAATTATTAGAAACACTCAATGTTATTAGTAAAAACCTACAACATCAGAGATACATTTTTTGTTGTGCAAAAGTGCTAATACTAGTATTAGTGGCCCCTAACCCCGAACTTTAACCTTAAGCTATACATAAAACCAAGTCTTAGCCCTCAAACGGTCCTTATTAAAGTTACAGGCACAGTGCACATTAATACACATTTCCGTAAATGCGCCAGTTTAGCCATCTCGAATTTTCAACTGCAGTCCCTGGGCTTTAAATGTGTCTGTAAATTAGAGGCAGTGAAGACTAAATTGTCCTTGCTTTCCAAAAATATCCTCACGGTCTTGAAGTCAAGTCCCCACACAAACAAAAACACACATACACATCCTTTTAAGAGTCTGATCTAAAGCACACACACTGTTTCTGTTTATCTATCTACAAAACCGGGAAGGATAAACCCGGGTATCTAAGATGTTGGGTCAAACACAGTCATATTGTTTCAGTGTTACAACCTGTTTACTGACCGAGACAAGAGAGAGAGGGAGAGACAGGAAGTGAGCCGCGAACAGATATGACATCCTTCCTGTCCTGTCTTCCTGCGATTGTCTCCCACTGACATCATAGGAAGTAGGCTGGACCGAGCGCTGCAGCACCTGGTACATGTAGTATGAACACGCAGTCACACCCGGGGGGGGAATACATAAAATAAAAAGAACAAAAAAATACAATATATTATTGTTGAATTCTGAATGTACAACGAATCCTGACTTCACAAGAATGTTCTCATTGCATGTTTTAATGTAATTGATCAAATCCGCACCGACGACATTTGAATTTCTTCAAATTTGACACAAATGTCCACTTGGACTCACGGTATAACTTGGTGGTCAAAGGTCACTGGGACCTCACAAAACACATCTTTGACCTAAACTCAAGAATTTACATGATAATTAAGACAATTTCACACAAATGTCTGATAGGATAAAATGATGAAGGGATGACGTTTTGGACAGACAGGGATGTAAAGTGCATACAACTGCATGGTGGTGATTCTAGTTTGGATTAGAGAGTATTATTAACACAAACACAGCTAGACACTGCACCGATGAGGCAGCATGATGGATGCACATCATGTGAGATTCACCTCCCAAAATCTGAATATCAAGTGCTCCTCGACCCGATGACCACAGAGTCGGCCCCAGCACCGTCTGACCTGGGTGTGTTTGATTTAAGACAGGGGGAAGCGCGGAGCGTTCTCAGAGCTGACGGGGTCAATGAGCAGAGCGGCCGGGAAGAAAATCAACCGGATCATCACTTTCTCCAAACGGAAACCTCCGTTACCAGGAGAGCCTCCCTCCTCTTCCGGTCACCGTGAAAACCCACGCTGTGGTGAGGACACGTTGATCAACATGCTACTTGGTTGATTGACTGGCTGTTTGGTCAGTTTGTGGATATTTAAGTGACTGATTGATGATTAAAGCATTGGCAGAAGTATTTCACAGCTTTAAAAAGAATGTCCACGTCTTCCGTCTTTTCATCACTTCCACATTCCTCCTCTCCCTCCCCCGCAGGCTTCCTCAGTGCGTGTCTGAGCGGCTCTTGGAAGGAGCATTGGTGTGTTGTGCGAGGAGGAAGCTTGTACCTGCAGAAGGACCCCGGGGACCGGGGGCCACCGGCCATCGTGGTACCGCTCAAAGGTGCAGAGGTGGTGACAGGCGGCTTCGGCCCCAAACATCCCTTCTCCTTCTGCATCCTGCAGGCTGGCAGCGAACTAGCATCCTTGGAGGTACTATATGGAGGTGTCAAAAGATCAGTTCATACCGGCAGAGGAGATTTCATTTCATTTGTTTGCTTTTCTTGACTCTTTTTTCATGAGATTGTGGAAACAGACGAGACAGAAAGTTAACATGTGCACAGGGATGACACACCTACATTTTTCTAGAAACCAAGTGGCTTTGTTTGTTGTGTGTCCATCAGGCCAGCTGCTCGGAGGATCTCGGCCGCTGGCTGGGTGTGTTGTTCGCAGAGACCGGCAGCACCACTCTCCCTGAAGAGCTGCACTACGACTACATCGACGTGGATACGCTCACTGACATCCGGCACGCTGCGAGACACTCCTTCCTGTGAGTCACTTCCAACAGAATATGTTTGCATCTTTCCACATGTATTTAATTAGAGTTTTCTGTCTCTTAACATCCCGAAATACTATCTGTCTCTGTGTTTTTCCTCTCAGGTGGGCCACTACCACTGCTACTTCCTCCAGCAGCACCTCGACAGACTCCAGAACATATGATGATGTCTATGAAAGCATCGCGGTGAGGAAACATCACGTGAACCAGTGATACAATATCATTAAACATGGCGACGCTCTCCTCTTCCTTTGTTCAGTTGCAGATTTATCTAAATGACTTAAATCATCATGAGACTTCTGCCTCGATTATTCTGCTAATTCACATGTTTGATTTCTTTGGAATTAAACATGATTAAACTACACATATAAGTCCCGCCTCATGGCTTTGGCTGGACAGATTTAGTTATAAAAAAAACACACGGATGCATCAAAATAAAATGGGCTCCAGAAATGTAGATTTTGAAAATGCGCTTGTTTTTCCTCCAGGAGGGCGATGTTGAGAGCCGAGCTGGACCAGTGAGACGTCATGCCTCCTTCTCCAGCAGGGACTCCGAAAAAACAGAACAACAGGCCGCCATCAAGAGACACGCCTCCAGTGAGTCTCCTTTCATGATTGATTGATTGATTAGACGGGTGAAGATTGTTGAAAATTGTTAGACGTGTCCCACCTGGCTTCTCCTGGTCCCGATTGCGGTGAAGAATAAAAGTTTGTCAAAGCAGATAAATAGTTAAATAGCTTAATTACATTTTTTTTCTCATCATACTCGGTCTATTTATATTCTGCCACGTGTTCTGTTAGATGTAAATCAGTACGGACGGTATGGCAAGACGCGTGCGGAGGAGGACGCCAGGCGGTACCTGACTCAGAAAGAGGAACTGGAGAAGCAAAAGGAAGAGCTCAGACACGCGCTGATTTCCCTCCGCAAGGAGAAGAAGGAGGTGAAGGAGGAGATGCAGAGTGTTACAGGTCCGAGACAAATCATACACGCAGCACTGTTTACACTTCAGCTTTGTAGCGGTACTAACTTATGAGTGTTTGTGTGTGTTTGTGTGTGTGCAGGTCATGGTGTGGAGCGGTTAGCCAAGCTGGAGGTGCTGTGTAAACAGAAAGAGGAGGAGAGGGTGGAGGTGGAGCTCAGACTGACAGAGGTCAAAGAAAACCTGAAGAAGTCATTGGCCAGGGGAGCCCTGGGTCCTCCCACTGACACCAAGATCAGCGTCAAGGTAGGCAGCCACAGCAGAGACGATCCGTCATTTATCAAGCTCTGGACACCTGATTTAGACACACAATTACTGTAAATCCTAAATGAGTGAAATCTGACGTGTGTGTGTGTGTGTGTGTGTGTGTGTGTGTGTGTGTGTGTGTGTG